AGGAAGGAAGGAAGGAAGGAAGGAAGGAAGGAAGGAAGGAAGGAAGGAAGGAAGGAAGGAAGGAAGGAAGGAAGGCTGGCTGGCTGAGTCAACTTTGAGCCAATCAGGATTGAACTCCTGGCAGTGGCAGAGTTAGCAATACTGCATTCTAACCACTGCACCACCAGGGAGGATAATATAAAGGGAATAAAAGAAGAAGGGAGGGAGGGAGGAACGCTGAGCCAATCTTGAGCCAATCAGGATCGAACTCCTGGCAGTGAACAGAGTTAACCTGCAAATACTGCATTCTAACCACAACTCCTAAACAAACAGGGTTATCCTTCTGAATATGGATATAACAAATATTTGCCCATTGGATAGAGTGAAAACCTGAAGCCTAGTTGGGTAGCTATTAAACAAGGATTTTTAAAGGTTGATTAGCAGGGCAAAAATTATTACATTGAGCAACTCCTCCCAAAGGGTTACACCAGATCATATTTATTATGATAACCAATTTATCTCAGACAGACCCCCTTTTTTGATGTTACTAAGTGACAAATAGATAACCCCATATGTGGGCAGAAAGAAGTGGTGGGGTGGCCTAGAGGTGGAGGCTCTATCAGAAGGCTGTGACTTCGATCCTAGGTAGAGGCAGATATTTCTCTCTCTGGGCACACTGAGAATATATCTGCTGAACAAAACTCCACATTGGTGACAGGAAGGGCATCCGGCCATGATTTTTATTGACTGTTTCTTAGTATAATTTGATTGGTTATTGTACCCTATGACTATCATTAAGTGTTGTATCTTATGATTCTCGACTCTTGATGAATGTATTTTTTCTTTTATGTACACTGAGAGCATTTGCACCAAGACAAATTCCTTGTGTGTCCAATCACACTTGGCCAATAAAAGAATTCTATTCTATCCTATTCTAAACACTCTGCTAGCTCCATTCAGTTGTTCAGACTCCACCCCACAAGGGATTATGGAGTGGTTAAATGATGATGATACATGGGCGGAGCGAAGAAGCAACTCGCAAAATAAAAGCAGAAGATCCAGCACCACCCAGCTCCATCCTCCATGGAGATAATGCTCCATGTCTCAGTAGAGAATACAAAGGCGCAATCTAACTTTGGCACAACCTGTTTAGATGGACGGAACATCTCACAAATTAACAGCAATAATAACCACAACAAAATTGTGATTTCTGCCCCCCCAAAAAAGAAACTCCCTCCACAATTAGGATCCCACCCAACTAGCTTAAATGATCTTCTTGCTTTCTACTGCTGAGAGATCCACCCTGGCTGGTTAAGGTTTGTTTAAGAGGCTGTGGCTTTTACTGTGCACAATCTTGAGGCTACTAATGGCTGTCCAGGTGATTTAAAGGTATTTATTCAAACACCTGAAAGTGAAAAGAACAGATTGTTTTCTTTGGATTAATGGTAATATAATCAATCAGCCAGAAGCCTACCCTCTTAGCCTTGCCATAATATTTGGGCCGAAGCCGAAGCTGAAGGGAACTGTTTATGTTCACACCAGGACATTTTATGTGAGAATATAATTTATGGCCCTTGCTCCTCTATTGGTCAAAAGGTAAAGTCCCATAACTTCAGCAAGTCTCCTGCTTATTCAACGCAGGTGATGAGGTGACACAAGAAAAATAAATCTGGAGCCTTTATTATTTTTTTAAAGCCCTGCTTAAAAGGATCCCATATGTGGCTTTCAGGGGGACGTCCATCATTTTTATTCTCGGGAATTGCCAACTCAGGTAAGGTGAAGTGGAACAAAAAGGCACTTCTAAAGAGGCGGTGTGTGTGCATGCTTGCTTGCCAAGAGGGGAAAAAAAGAGTGACCAAGGGTTGAAACCAGCTTGGAAAAGACAATGGTCTCAACTTGCAGAGAAAAGCTCTTCTGTTAGACCAGGGGTGTCAAACTCAAGGCTTACAGGCCGAATCCAGCCCATGGGGTGGTTAGATCTGGTCCACGGGCCGCTCTGAAAACAGCAAAGGACTGGCCTGAGGTGCCTCACATAGCTCACCCAATCTCTGTTTTGGCTGACAGAGGGTTGCAGGAGACCATCGCAACTGAAAACGGAGCTCGCAGTGGCTGCACACAGTCCTCCCGAGCTCTGTTTTGGCTGGCAGAGGGTTGCAGGAGGTTGTTGCAGCTGAAAACAGAGCTCACGGGGGCTGCATGCAGCCCTCCCGAGATCCATTTTGGCTGGCAGAGGGTTGCAGGAGGCAGACGCAGCTGAAAACGGAGCTTGGGAGCCCGTTTTCGCTGGCAGAGTGCTCGGGTCCCCACAGGCGTCTCCCAACATGAGTGACATTGAGCTGGCCACACCCACCCCGAAGAGAAACACAATCCTGGTGTGGCCCTCAATGAAGTCGAGTTTGACATCCCTCTTTTAGACCAGGAGTAAAGCTGAGCCTTTGTGTGGCTGGCCTTGTCTGACCTTTGTCTTTTGATCATACCTATCTACTTTTAATAAGAGCTTCTAGAAATCATTTGGGGATGCTTGGAATTCAGTAAAGACCCCCCATTCCTGGGAGGGACATAGAGGAAGACCAAAGGGCACCATGTTTGCAGACAGGATGTTAGGGAAAGCAGCTAGGAAAGATTGTGCAGAGTATGAGGCCATGAGAGTGGAAAGGCCTGCTCCATTATCAGTAGTTGGCAGGGTTATTTGCAGCCTCTCCCTGGCTGTATCTCCCCATCCTGTCAGGTATGCTCCACATCCTGCCCACCAGGGAGTGTCCTCTGGTGGATCTAGGAAGAGAGGGCTTTCTCGTTGGTGACCTTGCCCTATGGAACATTATTGCCTCAGAGACTAGACTTGTCTAACCCCGCTGGTCTTTCATAAGGCCTTGAAGACCTTCTTTTAACAGAATGTTGGAAGGGACCTTGGAGGTCTTCTAGTCCAACCCCTTGCTCTGCAGGAAACCCTGTACCATTTCAGACAAATGGTTGTCCAATCTCTTCTTAAAAACTTCCATTGTTGGAGCATCCACAACTTCTGGAGGCAAGTTGTTCCACTGATTAATTGTTCTCACTGTCAAGAAATTTCTCCCTTGTTCCAGGTTGCTTCTCTCCTTGATTTGATTCTATCCACGGCTTCTTTTCCTGCTTTCAGATGCTTTGGAGAGTAGCTTGATTGCCTCTTCTTTGTGGCAATCCCTAAGACAAGGATCTTCAAACTTGGCAAGTTCAAGACTTGTGGACTTCAGCTCCCAGAATTCCTGAGTTATCATGATTGGAGGAGGAATTCTGGGAGTTGAAGTCCACAAGTCTTAAAGCTGTCAAGTTTGAAGGCCCCTGCCCTAAGACAAGGATCTTCAAACCTGGCAAGTGTAAGACTTGTGGACTTCAACTCCCAGAATTCCTGAGCTACCATGATTGGAGGAGGAATTCTGGGAGTTGAAGTCCACAAGTCTTAAAGCTGTTAAGTTTCAAGACCCCTGCCCTAAGATATTGGAACATTGCTATTATGTCTTGTTTTCTTACTGAGCCTCGGGCTCCAGGTGAATGGTTGAGCACATATCCCAGTTGTGTTAATTGTTGTGTTGGTTGGTCTTTTATCTTGGCTACCGTACATGTTATTTATTTGCTATAATGTTTCTATCTTGTTTTCAATCATTGTTAGCCACTAAGAGTCCCGTATCTGAGATGGGAGGTCACATAAATAAAACCGTTCAATCAATCCGTCTGTCAGTCAACCAATCAGTCAATCAAAAGTCTACATTAGACTTGGCAGGAGAAAAGTCATCTCCAGTGCTTTGAGAAGGTCAATTTTGCACAATTGAGGGGAAGATCCTCCATTCATCGCTGTCAAACTCTGGACCAGTTTGCCAGTTTGACCGCTGCCCACTTTGCAGGAAAGGATGCTAACAAGAACTCTTGAAGGATGTAACATATGGTAGAATAGAATAGAATAGAATGGAATGGAATGGAATGGAATGGAATGGAATGGATGATTTTCCCATCCCCCCTCTTCTTTGTGGCAGTCCCTCAAATACTGGAATACCGCTATCATGTCCCCACTAGTCCTTATTTTCACTTTTCTAAATTAGACAAACCCAAATCCTGCAACTGTTCTTCATATGTTTTAGTCTCCAGGCCTTTGATCATCTGAGTTGCTCTTCTTTGAACTTTTTCCAAAGTCTCAACAACTTTTTGGTAGTATAGTGACCACAAAAGAAGCAGCAACGGCCCACTATGTACAAGGAAGCCATTGCACAAAATTCATGTCCATTGTGTAATGATCTCACAGTTTTCATGACATGCCTCCTCCCTTCTCCTCGCCCCCCCCCCCACCCTCCCCCAACATTCTTGGGACTGGCTGCCAGGAACCATCTCATCTAAGACACCCAGGAAGCCATTATCACCAGCTGACATGAAGAACTTAACATGGGCATTACTGGCCCATTCCAAATACTTCAATCTATCAGTCATGTTTTATTGATCAAATGTCAGACTCTGCACCAGAGATTAAGTCATACTTTGGATTTGGCTGACAGGGGCAGGAAGGAATGCCAAAGTAATCTATCTCTCTGAGAGGGGTGTTTCAGGCGGAAGATTTATGTGGGAAAAGACAGTTGAAGGAAACTTGAAGGTGTCAGTGCAAGTTTTCTATAAACCTCAAGGAAAAGAAGACAAAGAGAGTTACCATAAACAAGATGGAAGCACAGTTCACTAAGTAGCCAGGTGTGCGGTCTCTCCAGGTGAGTTTTTCCTCTTCCTCCTGGAACAAGATAGAAGGTTGAAAATGGAAGCTGCAAAACTATACTGTGTTAAATAAGCAAAAAGACACTTAGGTAATAATCAATAACATAATAATAAAAAAGCAAAGGCAGGCTTAATAGTAATAGGCATTTTGGGAACAATCCCAAAACTGGAGCACCACTTGAACACCATTGGCATTGACACATTCCCCATCAGTCAATTGCAGAAGGCAGCTTTGCTTGGAACAACTCACATCCTGTGACGATATCTGTAACACCATCAAACATCCATCTCTGTCTATCCCAGGAAGGGACTCAATAGGTCAACAAAAGTGTCAAATCCAGTTTGAACATCTGGCTGACTTTGTGATGAATCATAATACTTAAATAATAATTAATCAAGGAACATCCAAGGACACTCCCAGCAAAAATGACAGGAAAAGCCACTAGTATGTAAAAATAAGAGCAAACCCCACTTCTTTCAAGCACTGATGTTATTAACTAGTTTGGTAATGAAATGTCTGCAAGAAAGCCACCAAGCTCAGAAGTCCCAAGGAGCTCACAGTTCAACCCTGAGCTACAAATAATTTCTTCTATTGGTAATAATTCAGCTTTATTAAACAAGACAGCAATAATTCAGTCCAAAGCAGCATCAATCAAAAGTTATTTTGGGGCATTTCTATCATTACAGGATTCTCCCAAAACTCCATCTGCTATCAATAATCCATAGATTTCAATCCAGAAGTCATGCTTTTTGGGTCATAGGTTTCCCATAGAACACTTCAAAATAATAACAATAAAAAAACCAAACAGCAAAGGGTATACCGTCTCTGCCAAGATCTATCGGGGAGGGAAGCATTCTCCTTCAGAAAGAAATTGGAGGCAGAATGTGGATATATCACGATACATCAATTCTTCCAATACCTTGCCTCTGCTTAATTGTGTGGCTTAACCATATCCAACATTTGCTGGATAGTAGCTAGCAGGAGAGGGGATTAATATGCCCCAAAGCATATTAAAAGGAAGGGTGCTTTGATGACATGGTCAAAATACCCAATACTGCATTTGAAGATTGATGCTTTGATCTACAGTTGGCAGAATAGCAATAGAAATAGCACTTATATACCACTTCACAGTGCTTTCCAGCCCTCTCTAAGTGGTTTACGGAGTCAGCCTATCGCCCCCAACAATCTGGGTCCTCATTTTACCGACCTCAGAAGGATGGGAGGCTGAGTCAACTTTGAGCCAGTCAGAATCGAACTCCTGGCAGTGAACTGGAATAGCCTGCAATACCTCATTCTAACCACTGCACCACCACGGCTCCATGGGCTCAGAAGAGCCCATGTTATTCAATATACATGCTTCCCTCTACATGCCTTTTATCTCAACATTGCACGCAGACCACCATTATGGCAACGGGACAAACTCAACATCTCTTAAAGTTGCCACGTTTGAGAAAGCATGGATTAAGAGCCTGGGAGCCAGGAACATGGAGTTCATATTTATGGATTCCCACATTGTTAAACAAGATGTTATCGGCTCCAGTTAGGAGGAACCAAAATTTCTGAGCATCGTCTTCTGGTGACAATAGCAGTAATTGCCATTCTGGGTTGGACATGATTGGTGACCTTCCCCTCCACTAGCCTCACCCCATTTTCAAGCCCTGCTCCCTGCCTCTAACCTGCTCCAGCCCCTGCTCCCCACCTCTAACCTCACCCTATTTTATAATCATTCTCCTAATCATCAAGAACAACACCTCTACATTAGGCCAAAGCAGGGGTGGTATTCTACCGGTTTGGACTGGTTCTATAGATCCGGTTGTTATGATTCTGCGCAGTTCGAAGAACCAGCAAATCGTGCTTCTCACTGGCCCGACCCCTCTCTGCCTGCCCCTCTCCTCCCCGCCCAGTCAGTCCTTATCATGCATGCACGACATCACACACATGCCCGGCATAGCTGACTGCATTCTCCCATGCCCAGTCACTCCTTGAGGTATTTCTTTTTTTCCTCTTCCTGACAATCAGCTGTTCCGATGATCAGCTGTGCCGGGATCCCCCTCACTGTCTTACTGCTTCACCCAGGATGCTTCCTCGAGGCCCAGGAGGCAAAAAGGGACATGCGGGGGTTGGGGTGCTGCACACCCACCCCATGCTCCGTTTTTTGCTTTCCTGGGCCCTAGGGAAGCCTTCTGGGAGCAAAAACGCCCCCCCCCCCAGGAGGCTTTCCTGAGGGCCACAGGGCAAAAAAATTGGGGGGGGGGGGTCCCTGCAAAAAAAAGAGCCATACCCACCCAGTCACATGACCACACCCATCTAGCCACGCCCACAGAACCGCTTGTTAAAAAAACTGAATCCCACCCCTGGGCCAAAGTCATGTTCTTCTCAAAGCTTGCTCAAAAAAGCCAATGGCCTCTGCCTGCCAAAGGGACCACCGCGCTAATCTAGCTTCATCGGTGTCTAATTAACTGAACAAATAGGGCATCTGGAAACTTTTACATTAATTTTCCTAAAATGTGTGTCCTCCTCATTATTGTTATGAGGAAAATATGTGTTGTTCTTGAAGACTTATTATTTCATAATATTTTGCTCGTCACAGATGAACTCGATCAAATTCTGGAAAACCTGAGAAAGAGCCCGTTATTTGTTTGTCTAAGAAAATGAATGATTTGTTCTACGTTTTGGAAAGGAGGAGATTCAGAATGGCACTGAGCGCTGAAGGCTGGAACTGGATTCGGGATTCCACTCAGTCTCGGAATGCTCTATTCCCCACGGAGGCGCGGGGAGGATGAAGTTCAAATTACGCTGCCTTGCCCTTGAACAAATTTCCCCTGGACATGGATTCTTTAATTATTAATTCCGGCAACTACAAAGCAGCTTGGGGCCCCAATTTAATTGGGATGGTTTGGAGACATATCATTGCACTGAACCCTGAAGTGGCTTCATTTGACAGGAATTTTTTTTTTCAGCTGAGTCCTAATGTTTTGGTGCCTTAATTGCAATTGCAATAGCACTTAGACTTATATACCACTTCACAGTGCTTTACAGCCAGTGTAATTGTCTCCAACAATCTAGGTCCTCATTTTACCGACCTGAAGGATTTTACCATCTGAAGGATGGAGGCTGAGTCAACCTTGAGCCGGTCAGGATCGAACTCCAGGCTGTGGGTAGAGTTTGCCTGCAATACTACATTCTAACCACTGTGCCACCATGGCAGAGACAGCAATAGCACTTAGACTTATATACCACTTCACAGTGCTTTACAGCCCTTTCTAAGCGGTTTACAGAGTCAGCCTATTGCCCCCAACAATCTGGGTCCTCATTTTACCCACCTCGGAAGGATGGAAGGCTAAGTCAACCTTGAGCCAGTGAGATTCTAACTTCCGAAGTGTTGGCAGCTGGCAGTCAGCAGAAGTAGCCTGCAGTACTGCATTCTAATGACTGTGCCACCACGGCTGTTAACCTGTTTGTACTCCCACACCATTCAAAGGGAGTTCATCCCAAATTGTATACGTGTGGGAGTAGGAGTGGATTTCCAGAGGAAAAACTGCACTACTCAGGTGACCCTGAGGATCCAGATAAACCTCCAAGTGGCCTCAACGACTCTCTAAAAAGAATGCAAATGGCCAGCTGTCTGCAAGGAATATCAATCCTTCCATTCCCCACCATCCAGTCAGAGCTGAAGAAGCTTCTTGGATGATAATGGAACAACTTCAAAGAAAAAACAAGAAAGTTCAGTTGCCTCCTGAAAAAAGCACCTTTAGGACAACCATGACTTGGATGACTGAGAATCTCCACAGACCACACTTGGAATTCTACATCCAGTTTTGGTCGCCATAGAATAGAATAGAATTCTTTATTGGCCAAGTGTGGTTGGACACACAAGGAATTTGTCTTGGTGCAAATGCTCTCAGTATACATAAAATAAAAGATACATTCGTCAAGAGTCAAGAAGCATCAGGTACAACACTTGATGATAGTCATAGGGTACAAGAAGCAATCAAATCATACTAGGAAACAGTCAATATAAATCATTAGGATACAAGCAACGAAGTTACAGTCATACAGTCACAAGTGGGAGGGATGAGTGATAAGGAGTGATGAGAAGATTAACAGATTAACATGATGTAAAAAAAGATGTTGAGACTCTCAAAAAAGCGCAGAGAAGAGCAACCAAGATGATTAGGAGGGGGCTGGAGACTAAAACATATGAAAAATAGTTCCTGGAATTGGGTATGTCTAGTTTGATGAAAAGAAGGATTAGGGGAGACATGATAGCAGTGTTCCAATATCTCAGGGGCTGCCACGAAGAAGAGGGGGTCAAGTTATTCTCCAAAACACCTGAGGGCAGGACAAGAAGCAATGGATGGAAACTAATCAAGGAGAAAAGCAACCTAGAACTAAGGAGAAATTCCACAATTAACCAGCGGAACAACTTGCCTCCAAAAGTTGTGAATTCTCCAACACTGGAGGTTTTTAAGAAGAGATGGGACAACCATTTGTCTGAAATGGTGTAGGGTTTCCTGCCTTAACTGGGGTTGGACTAGAAGACTTCCAAGGTCCCTTCCAACTCTGTTGTTCTATATTCTATAGTATAAATAGCCTTTGACTGGCCGAGGGGTTTCATGATACTCTCCTTCTTCCTTCAGGGTCCCTGGTCAGAGCAGCAGTTCCCAGGAAGACGGTGAAAAGTTATTATTTCATGGGAATTGGCCTTTGCATTTCATTCTGGGAAACTAACTTCTGCCACTCTATTTCTTGCCATCAGGACATTCTGTTTTTGGCTTGCTTACTGCCATCAGGAATTCCCAGCAGAGCCGATGGGCAGCCTCAGGCCTGGGAAAGGACTGGTTCTCCTGCTCTACCAGGGACCTCCGTCTCCTCCAGGTGTTCTTTGCTAATGAGAAATTACTAGAGGAATGCAAAAGGAAACAAAAAAGCAGACCAGGGCCTGAGCTACTACCTGCCCCTTTGCTACAGAGTTCAAGAGCTCAAGGAGAACTTTCCAGAACTCCAGGAGGGGT